GGCGCCCCAGCGGCATTCCGAGGGCTATACCTGCAGCAGCGCAGCCCCCTGCTGCAGCTGCTTCCGGCTTCAGCAGAGGCGGCAGCGGCAGAAGCAGCGGCAGAGGCCGCAATGTACCCGTTGCTCGTGGGCCTGTTCTTACAGTGCAAACGGCGAAAGCTGCAGGCGGAGGAGCTCCTGGAGGAGGCGGTGGAAACCACCCTGCCGGATGGAGGCCTGGGGATGCCGCGTCTACAGCAGCAACACCACCTGCAGCACCTGCAGCAGCAGCACCGGGAGCACCACCACGTCCAGCAGCAGCACCTGGAGCACCACCACGTCCAGCAGCAGCACCTGGAGCACTACCACGTCCAGCAGCAGCACCTGGAGCACTACTGCGTCTAGCAACAGCACCTGGAGCTGCAGCACGTGCAGCAGCAGCACCTGGAGCAGCAGCACGTGCAGCAGCAGCACCTGGAGCAGCAGCACGTGCAGCAGCAGCACCTGGAGCAGCAGCACGTGCAGCAGCAGCACCGGGAGCACCACCACGCCCAGCAGCAGCACCGGGAGCACCACCACGCCCAGCAGCAGTACCTGGAGCAGCACCTCGTCCAGCAGCAGGACCTGGAGCAATACCACGTGCAGCAGCAGCACCTGGAGCAATACCACGTGCAGCAGCAGGACCTGGAGCAATACCACGTGCAGCAGCAGGACCTGGAGCAATACCACCTGCAGCAGCAGCACCACGTGCACCTGCTGGTGCTGCTTCTCCTGCGTATGATGCTCCAGTAGGTGGACGGCCAACAGCAGCAGGTGGTGTTGCTGCTCCTGGTGGAACTCACAGGGCCATTGTTTCAGTGCAACTGGGGCCTCCTATTGCCCCAAAGCCAAAAGGAATTGATTCGTGGTTGCAACGACAGCGAGCTGCTGCTGCTCGGGGTGCAGGTGCTGGTGCTGCTGCTCAAGGACAACAGCAGCCTCCGCATGGTGCCAGTGGAAATGATGGTTTGCCGTCGTATGCTGAAGTCACCCAGGCGTCTCATGCTTACCCAAGGGTATCTTCGCCGGTGCCTCCAGCGAGGCTCAGAGTACCAGAAGACCTTTCAGGAGATGAAGTCCGAGGTCTAGATGAGGCAACAATTCGTGAACTTGAGGGAGATGTTGAGGACTTGGTTGGGCCGGACGAACCACTGCATATTGTTAAACAGAAATTGCCGAGTCAAACTCTTTTAACTGTGTTTAAGCTAAAACGGCAAATGGATGTAACCTCCAGACTTTTTGGGGAGTGGAGGCGGGTGAGGAAACCAGACTACGGCAAGCCGGTGGCAGTTAAGAACGATGGTCTAGACTGGAGCGAGGATGAAGTTTGGTTTAGTGATGATGATTAAGGTGGTAAATAGAAGATGATTGTGATTTCTGCATGAGGTAATATGCTCACCTTGTGTGTGTTCGCCTTGTGTTTCTAGTTTTTTGCCGTGTTNTGATTTCTGCATGAGGTAATATGCTCACCTTGTGTGTGTTCGCCTTGTGTTTCTAGTTTTTTGCCGTGTTGTATGAGCGTGGCCGGAGGCGTTTCAGGGATACATGAATGAAAAAGCTTCGTCTGGGGGATCATCGTGGCGGAATTAGAATTATGATTTCTTTATGCATTCAGCATATAAAAACATTCTGCCTCGTTCGATGATTCCAGAGCCACTTTGTCGGTTTCTGAACAACGTACCGTATGCCGACAATGTGCAAGAAAGCGAAGCGAAATGAAGTGTATGCACAGTTTAATAAAGTGTGAGAATCTTGTGTTCATTCTCCAGACTTTTTTCATGGATGTGCTTCGTTTTAATTGAAGGTTTCTGTTACTTTTTGGTTGAAACCTGAAAACGGGTTTCCAGCTTTCTGCACCAACCTGCACGACCGAAGCAAAGGTCTTGTGCGAATGCGTTCGACGTTTCATGATTTCATAGTTACGTTTTAATGCATCCAAATATATTGCGTTTTTCCCGCGAAAGTCAAACACAATTTCCGCTTTTTTCAGCGCTTCTGCCGTTTGCCGGATGGCAGGCGCCGTCCTCTCTGGTGAGCTGCGTATACACCAGAAGGAACAAAGGAAAACACGGATATGTGTCGTCTTTCCATCGGCTATTCTTGCTGTATAATCAGCTCATAATAGTACAAGTCTCGGGTGCAGGCTGCATACACAAATTGTAGTTCTGCCTGCAGGCGTAGTAACTTGTACAGCAGCTAGCTTACCCCCCCGATAGGTAGCTACGGTGGTCTCAGCAACTAGAAAGCGTTGATCTTATGAGAAACCTGCAACCAGCAGCTCTGTAGAACTCTTCTGAACTGAGAGAATAGCAAGGATTCTNGATCTTATGAGAAACCTGCAACCAGCAGCTCTGTAGAACTCTTCTGAACTGAGAGAATAGCAAGGATTCTCTAGATGGGTCAACTGAGCGAGTAACAGTAGCCGAAGCATCTGCCATAGAAATACTGAACCAATAGCTTGAGTAAGCGAACCCTTAAGCTCTGCTCTGAACCCTTGAACCCTCAACCCTCTGAACCCTTCAGCTTTCTCCGGGCTGAATACTAGTATGCTGGCTCCAGTCTCTGTACAGCCGAAGGGGGGGAGCATCTAGAAACTAAGTGATTCGCTTGGTGGATAGAGAGGTGAAACAGGGGATCTCTTCTCCATACAGAAGCTGCAGCACTGGCAGCAAGGACCCCTGAAACACTCTTGAGGTGTACATACACATGAACATGAACAGAAATATACGGCTTTAGTCTGAAAAAGTCTCTGGGGTTATTGCGATTCACAAAAGATGCAAACACACTTCACGCGCTGTCCTACGTTGTTGGGTTTCTATAAACTTGTATCATATTTTCTTGGGGCTGCATGCTGTGTTAGCATGCAAGAAAACATATAAACATACATACATACATGCATGCATGCATGCATGCATGCATGCATGTATGTATTTGTTTTAATCTATCTATTTGCAGCTTTTTTGCGGTATTTTTTTTTGAGGTTTTTGGGTATTTTATGCAGTCTTCTTTCTTTGTTCATTTCTTTTACTTTTTTTTTCCATTCTTTTCTCGATATCCCCTCGGGTATAATTCCAGTAAATTTTACATCTTCTTCATTTCCTTTTTCTTTTTTTTTTCTTGAGCGCCCTCGTTGCCTCCTTTTCTCCTCTTTGCTGTCGGCTTCGCTCTCACTACTCTCTGCACCTTCTCCGTCGCTGCTGCTGCTGCTGCTGCTGCTATCCCCACCGCTGCCGCTGCACCTGCTGCTGCTGCTGCTGCTGCTGCTGCTGCTGCGTGTGCGGGCAGCGGGGTTATGT